TTGATTCTGATCCTCGGCTGCATGACCTAAAACTTCTTGTACTTGAGCTTTTCCACTATGTCTTTGTATTCTAGTTCTTTATGGAGAACTGATACTATCGTTATTTCTAAATTAAATAAGCCCCCCATCTCTGTAAGCCCCCTCTTAAATGGGCTTGAAATAAACAAGCCCCGGGGGGGTCTTAATAAAGGTTTTACGGTAAATATTTTTCTCATTTTATGTTGTGACAAGCATTCCTTTCCCTTCATGTGTGAGTACCCTGGGAGAGTTCTCTTACAACTGTATCAGTTAAATCAACCCCCTCCCCCCCCCGACAAGCCACCCCAACTCAAAGTTTTAGTATCTCATTGTTCACTTGCCTTCCAGGTACACAAGCAAGTATTATTATTATACTAACAGATGGAAGAGTAGATGACATGAGAAGAGCAACATCTGAGGTAAGTCTGCTCTGGGTGAAGGTGTTAAAAATATTAATACCCTAGGTACTTAGTTAAGTAAAACTGTGGTTCCAGAAAACACTTCTAGTTCAACTATAGAAGATAAGAGTATTTTCTGCCCTCCTCCTCCTCCTTTCCCAAACACACACACATACCCTTTTAGAAATTCCAATTAAGGTACAGACATTTGTTTTAACTTTTTCATCTTCCTGTCCTTGATCTCCTCCACAAGAAATGTCCAACCCTATCTGTGGTAGTGTGTGGGGTGGAGCGTGGGGTATGAAGAATTCTGGAAAATAATACACAGTAGAGCAAGCAAACTTTTCTACATTGTATTTTAGGAACCTGCTCAGTAACTGCAAGGTCAAATTTTTTATTACATGTATGATAATTAATTTTTAAAATGATACTGTCAAGGAAATATGTTGTGGTTCAATTTTATTCTTGGTTTAAGTTTTAGTTTCTTTTCTTTAAAAATCATTATCTTGTATTACCATACCAAAAAAAAGGAAAATTTAAACTAAGGATAAAATTGAACCACAACAAATATATTTAAAGCCATCATACAATTGCCATTGTTGTGTGGGCCTTCAATTTACCTTTGTTTCTATTGTATTTTTTTATTGTGCATTTTATCAGACCAAGAAGGCAAGGGAAGCTGGAGCAGAAGTTTATGCTATTGGAGTTGCAGCATATGTTGAAAATGATGTATGTCAATACAAAATAAGAGGCTAATTTGGGACAACAGGAAAAGAGAGCTTAAAGAACTTCCTAGCTTTGAAGTTGCCAGGCTAATATTAATTGCATGTACCCAACAACTTGGTATTTAATTTTTACAGCTGCTTTTACTAAAACTGCGTTAAAATTTAGTCTTCCAAGCACTTGACGAAAGTTAACTTTCTCTTCATTTAACAGCTTATTCGATTAGCCAACAAACCATCAGAATACTTTGTTTTCACTGAGCCAAACTACAATCTTTTGAAGAACCTTACAGATGAAGTAAGTAATTTAAGACAAAAATGAGTTATCCATTATTTTAGTGCATCTCTCAAGAGGTTTACAGTTTCATCAAAGTCTATTGAACTTATTGTATGAATTTAAAGCAGCCTAAAATCACATATAGCTGATTTATTTAAAGGTTGCTTTTGGCATTGAGAATTGGGCACTGGGAAGCTACTGTTTAGTGGTCACTCAAGCAAATCATTACAGTGAATTTTATATCATGCCTAAATGCCTTAAATGACCCAGTGTCTAAATGCCATTTCCCAATGCCCAAAGCAACTGTTATTGAGTACAGTAATTGAACCTCCAGTAAACAATCACCCAAAATGAAAAGACTTAGTGGTTAATCACAGGCGGCCATCTTCTGAGAAGAGGTCTGGGCACATCTACTCTATGGAAGACAATTTATTGCATGCAAGTTATGCAATGTGTAGTTCCATGTTGTTACTAAAGTTCTTTGCATATTTTAAGTAGCATACTGAACACAACAAAGAGATCAGAGAATGTGTCAAAGTGGTCGCTTACGTGTACAAGAGGTTAAAAACAATGGAAAATCATTAAACTTTCAGGCCCAAAAAGTGGTCGTTGTCGCTCACAGGAGGTGATCATTGACTAGAGGTTCCAACTGTAAAGTTTTGACTGGAAAAGTTGTGGTGTTTTGGACATAGGCAGACGCATATGGGAGGTGGTTGTTTACAAAAGGTGGTCGTATATGAAGGTTCGACAGTAATTATAAGCTATAAATTGGCAATACAGGCAAAGCTGCCTTCAAGAAACAGCTATTGGTAGAGCACCCCTTTGGGAGGTAAGGGGGATTCCCTATAATGGCCTTTATGGGTGGGGGGGAAACTCTGCCTGTTAGGGGTGCCTTTTTTCAGGTTTCAGTTACAATGTGTATGAAAAGGGTATGAAGATCTGTCATTTTGGTCTGTTAAGGTCTTTAAAAGGGCTAACTGACGCATTCTATGGCTGGTAAAAAGATGAGAAAACGCTCTGGTTTTGTTATCTATTCATATTTAAAAGGCAGTGCATTTTTAGCAAAAAAAGGATGCAAATCCCTTAACTAGGTATGTGGAAGGGGTATTATAAATTTGTCAATGGACGGTAAAAAGGGGTACGTTTTCTGTCAAAAATAGCTTTTAAAAGGGTAAGGGGTTGGACCTCGGGCCGGGGCCTACCCGTATAAAACAGTGTTGAGTAACCCCACCGGGAGAGTACCATCCTGCAGCCTTTTTTTAAATTTCTGTCCGTTCTTTCTTATTTGCAGATTTCTACTAAGTCTTGTGTGGAGCTGACTTCAGTGGATCCCCAGCAAGCTTGTTTAGGAGGTAATGCGTTATTCTGCAGCTATTGTTATGGGTCATTTGTATTAAAAGTAATGTTGATGTACGTTAGTTTGTCATGTACCTTAGTGACTTCAAGTTTCTTTTCTTTCTTGTACACTGTAGAAAATTCCACGGTGACTTTGTACGGGCGTGGATTTGTAAAGTTCAATGTAGCTGTTTTTTGTGGCTTCAGTTACAATGATACTTACCGTCTAGGTAAGTAAGTGGCCAAAATAAAAATAAATACTTATTTACGGCATTTAAAGAGTTTCACCGGGTATTTTATCACACAGCTTGTTACAAACCTTGAAATAAATTGCTGTACTATGAACACGTTGACTTGATTTAGTATAGAAAATTCCAAAACTCAGGGCAAAGTTACGAATATTTCGACCGAATCACTTGGACTTCATCAGCTCTGTGAAGTGACATGCTGCGTAGCAGAAAAGTAACGAATGCCCAAGAGAGGATTGTAAATTTTGGTGGTAGGTCAAGGCCCTCATTACTATTCAGGGAGGGTTTGCTTTGTTTAATAGCAATTAGAAGCTTAAGCAGTAACGACGGCGACGGTTTCAAAAAAGTCACTTAAAAGTAAATGAATCGCGCTGCTTCAAACTTTACCGCGCTTATTCCATCTCGATCAATTCGCCGAATGATGGCGATTTTTTCTGGAGTTGAATTATAAAAGACTATATGAAAGTCAAGGAAAAGAAAAAGAGGTTATCCCTTTTTACAGATAACCCACCCAGCCCAGGAAAGGTTGGACACAGCACCGTACCCTAGCTTTTCGAAGAGTGTTGTGAGCATAAGTGAAAGTGCTGTGAGACGGGACCTAGTTTTTCGTCGTTATCCGAGAAGACTAGAGTCTAATCGTTTGCAGATAAGATTGAAAAGGCAGAATTTTTTCTCAGTTATTTAAAGACACTGAGTGATGGTCTGGTCGGGGTTTGAAACCGTGACATTCTGCTCAGCAGACCGGCGCTCTCCCAACTGAGCTAACCAGGCGGCGATAAAAGGATATCGCTATATTCTGGAAGAGAATAGCCGTTTGTTCTTTTGTCGCACAGCCTTGAGATTGTAAACAATACCTTGTATTTCTCTTCTTTCTTATTAATAGCAACAAGAGCTATCGCCATTGGAGACCGCCAGCTTATTTGCCCCGTTCCACCTATGAAGGACGCAAACAGGTGGATATGTCTTTTATTAACCTACGCCATTTTTCGGGAAATTTTAGAAGAGTTTTATTTTACCCAACCTTTTTTCGGCGTCCCTAACATTTGGGACTTGGGGTTTGGGGGGTGATAGGTGAAAGTATTTCAAATGCAGTATGAGGCTACTTGTATTCTACACAATTCAAAACTAGCAACTAAGGATGCGTAGAATGCTCACTAAAAAGTAATGATGAAGAAAATTGCCGTGTTGTATTTGGAGTTTCTTTCCAAGCGTTTCGGGCTTGGCTCTTCATCAGTGGTGTTACACGTACGTTAGAAACGTTGGAAGGTTTGCATACGCCATGAAAGAATAATAATAAAAAATAACAAGTAAACTTTGCAGTGCTTGCGCGGCTCTGCAAACGTACTTGTAACTGCAGGCTCGAAACCTTTTGGAAAGAAACTCGAACTGCAACTCGGCTCTTCTTTTGTTCATCACCGCTGTTTTATGGAACATTCTCTTACATACTTCCTATTTAAGTGCTACGAATTTTGTTTTTCGTTATTTGTTCAGCTAATGATGCATCCTGTTTTATTGCTTATCTTTTTTCTTTTCTTTCGCCTTCAGTTCCTTGATGTTGCAGGTTTCATTGAATAATGGAACAACGTTCGTTTCTAGTAACGTGAACATTACAACTAAAAATTGCCCAAAACCGGAAAATAATGGAACAACGTTCGTTTCTTGTGACGGGAACGTTACAACTAAAAATTGCACACAACCAGTAAAGCCGAATGAGGAAAAAGAAAAGGAAACAGAGCCGACAAAGGTATGCTACATTGTAGTGTTTACGTAGGATTTACGTTTTTTAGGCTACTTACTGCAACTGGTGACATTTATTGTGTTCTGGTTAAGCTTTAGATATCTAGATAGCATTTATTGAATTGGCTGTCTTAATAAACCACTAAAAAAAAGAAAGAAAAATACTCAGCGATTTATGTTTTTCGCCTACTGTAAACTGCCGCTTGTAAGCTTCCACGTGACTTAAAACTCGCTTCCCCTTACCCCTCCCCCCCCCAGTCATAGGCCGATCTAGCTGCACGCAAAAAAAAGCAATTAAACCCCAATTTAACGGTCCTCGTTATACGATATTCCCGATATAACGGGCATTAAAAGTAAAATAAAAAAAAAATAGGAAAAAAAGCTGATCATACCAAAACGTCTTTCAACAAAAAGTATTAATTATTCAGAAACAAAGCAAAGATATCCAAAACAGCAAAGCCTCCCTCGCCAAATATCGTTCGAACAAACGACCCATTTCTAGTGAGATAGAGCGCGTATTATATCCTGGTTAGTCAATGTCCTGTGATATCACCATCATAATTAGTAAAGGATGCTCTAAATGCTCCTCTTAATGTTAATGTGATTAAGCTTTTTTAAAGTAAATTTTTTGCTCCTTTTTTTCTAGAATGAAAAGAAAACTAATATTGGGTTAATCGTGGCGCTGTTGTTCTTATTGGCATTTTTGTTGTTGCTTGCCTTGTGGTGGTTTTGGCCGCGTATCAGAAGGAAGGTGAGCCTGCCTGCAGTGTGTCATTTGTGTACTAAAACTGACAGGCGTGCAGTCGTGATAAGAGCTAAAGAAAATCACTGATTTTTCTCGAGAATCTTTTCCTTAGCGAGTGAATTTCTTTTTGTAAAATGTTAAGAAATAAACATTGCTACGAAGAGTCCAGCCAAAAAGGTCTCATTTGAATGGTAACACAATAGGATTTCATCAACAGATTGATTTAAAAGTTAGACTGGAAAGACTGGGAGCTACTGTGAATTCATATGAAATTATGGTCACACCATGGGATTTCTAGCCTGCGAAAACATCCGTTTCTCCTCGCTCTTCGCCGCTGGGGACGTTTCGCGCGGAGGAACGACGTTCCTCCGCGCGCAACGTCCCCAGCGGAGAAGAGCGTAGAGAAACGGATGTTTTCGCAGGCTATGGGATCTCGGTCACAGAGTCAAAAGTTAGAACCATCTTACAAGATTCCATCAGCCATTCTGGATACAAGACAGAAATACTGATCAAGCGTTTAAAATCCCAGAAGCTTGGAGAGCGGTACAAAATATCGTCATCTGAATGGTTATTCATGTTTTCTACTTTAGCGTTGCGTTCAATGAGAGGGGTTGGTATGTCCCTAAGGCTCAATTTCAAAACCTGTCGTTTCGTGTATGGAGGAGAAAGCCGTGTCGCTGTTGATATTTCAATATTTTATTTGAGCGCTTCTCTGTCTCTGTCGCAGTTTTAACCCGTCTTTTTGTCGTTTGTTGCCATTTTTAATGCCCTATGTTGCTGTTTCAAGACAATGTCACTTGTCGAAGGATACCCTTATAAGGCCTCTTCAATTGTGGACGGATCTTTTGTGTACGCCACAATTTTTGTGTTTTTCAGCCACCACCACGTAATTACCAACCAGCGGCTACAACGGAAATGAAAGCAAAACCACCCGCTCGTCCCCCGCCTCCTCCGCCTAGGCCAGTGGAGAAAACGGTTAGTTGCAAGACGGTCATAGACCGGCTGAACAATATTGTTCGGTCGGTAGGTTAAGTTTCAGTTTCTTGAAGAAGTCCAAGACATCGACATATTTTTATTCAATGGAATCGTTGTCCCAAAAAAGCGTCGCAGTTTTAATTTATTGTTTGTTTACCAGAATTTGTACAGACTTTTGATTTGTGTAGATTTTGATTGGAAATATGGCTATGGTTATTACTAGCATGCTGGGAAGAAAAACAACAACAACAACAACTAACACTTTCGTGTGACGTTGCATATTTCATATATGCTATATGCTAATCATCAGCCAAATTTTTTTTACAGTTTATCAATTTATCAATATTTATTATTTTGAACTTGAAAATGGCGCCAAGATGACACCGAACGAAACGTCTTTCGTTCTTATCTGCGTTATTTTTTACTTGTTTCTGAACAAAAAAAACATTTAAGCGGAAGGTTGTTAAAATCTCCTCGTGGTGTGTCGTTTTGTTGTTTGTCATTTGCGTATTTCTTGTATTCTTCTACAGGCGTCTGGTAGAGTAAAATGGCCGACTGTTGACGCTTCCTACTATGGGGGTGGAGGAGCTGGTGGAATTGTTCCGGTGAGAGTAAGTATTAGAGTGTGTAGGGAGATTATCAGCATGTCTTTGGCGCGGGTAGCGTTTTTCCCCTGGGCATGAGGAAGAGGCCTTGATGTCGTGCTTAATGGGCAGTCATCTTTGTTTCAGATGTACCGAGGGAGGGGCGGGGGGAGTCGTTGGGGTGTACATTTGAAACAAAAACTGCCGCCGATTATAGTAACTGCTGGATCACGACGAGCCTACAGGAAGTAGGAGACAGTCTAGTAATACTTAAACAAAGTTTTATAAACCAAGCAGTTTCCGTTCAAAATTGTAGGTAGATTGGGGAGACAAAGGTTCAACTGAGGCAGGAGCGAGGCTGGCAAAGGCTAAGGTAAACTATTCTTTTGAATTGTACATGATTAGTAACCGCTATGTACTAGAATTTTCCTCCACTTGCCGTACTGATATCTTACAGCCTCCAATGGCAGATAGGAATTTGCTCCTGGTGAAAGATGAACTATGTCCAACCGCATCATTTCTAAACTGGGTCCGACTAAGGTGTCAGCTTGCCCATACTTGTAAATATAAAAAAAGATGTATGCACATTTCCTCAACGAGATTCAACCTGCTGGAACCTCTGTAACAAAATGGGCTCATCTGATAGTGGCAATATGGCACGTTTTTGCGAAGGCAAAATCGTGTTATCAAGGAATTTACACACTAAGGTTAATGGTTTCCCGCCTTTTCCCCACGTTCACGGCGTCTTTTGCGCGGGAAAAAAATAATAGCTACATCAGCAATTGACCATTTTATTGTGGGTCCCCCAAAAACGGAGTAGGAGATAAACATCTCGATTGCTACTATGGTCGCTTTATCTAGTTTCCATACTTATGAATTTCCCACGGGTAGTTTATCGCGGTTAGAAGCAATGACAGCAGTTTTATGTTACCCGAGGTGAGTGCTTTATTCGGGGGACTTACATGTAGATGCGTACTTAATATCACCAAAACTGTTGTTTTTATACACCTAATTCAAGAAAGGTTGCTTTGGTAATTTGTCATTTGGGCATACGGAACTCACTTCAATGATTTGCTTGAGTGTCCTCCAAACAATAACTTTCCATGGCCCAATTCGCTAATGCCTGAAGCAACCTTTATTGAATCAGGTATACATAACTCTTATTTTGTTTGTATTTGTAGCCAACATGGATAAACGATACTGACGATAATGAAGCCTTAGTAAGTTCACCTTCCAAGAGATCTAGATCACCGACACCAGGATGTTGGACGGCCGCTAAGGTAAAAGGCCTAAGTCTGTTCACTCCATATTTCCTCTAACATCTTGACTGAGAATTATATTGACATGCTGGAGCATTGCCAGCTGATTGCTCCCTTAACAAGGGGAAGGATGGGGGAGGGGGTGGTGGGGAGCAAGGATGGTGCAGAGGTGAGAGCACTCGTCTGCCATATGTGGCCAGGGCTCGAAAAGTCCCGTCCCGTCTTGTGGGGTTAAGTGACCTTTAAAGCTCCTTGCCCATGGGCAATTGTCCAAACCAGTCATCTTCTAACGAAATCATTATCCAAGAGGACCAAAAAGTGGCCTTGGACAAGGAAAATGTGAGAGCTACTTGCCCAAAGAACAAGCCGGAGTTCTAGGTTTTTTCGTCGAGCCCTGTGTGGTTTGTGTTTGTTGTTGTCTCTCTCTTCTACCTCAAGAGATTTTTGTCAGGTAGTCTTCTTTTTGTAGCTCCCAAAAAAGGGCGGACCTGCACCTATTCCAAACAAGGTTTGTAATTGGCTGGGAAAACGATAGGGATGGTGACGTAACAATGCCCCAATCCCGGAAACGATAGGTAGTGCAGGTTATAGGGAGTAATAAAATAAGAGGTTTGGAAGGGTGCTGGTCAATCGAAAGAAAAAAAACAGTACTTCTAAATTCCAATTCGATCTGGAACGCACGTGTACTATCAAGCGAGTTCTTGCGAACTACGTGTTTCTTGGATAGAAAGAAATTTACAATTTACAATCTTTTGTTTTACAATTTCCTTTTTCTTAGGTATATAACTTTACGTTGCACCGATTGTTGATTACATGATATATAAGCAAGCAAACATTTCCTTGAGATTTTTTCTTTTCTTTTTGGTTTCCGAGATCCAGGAAGAATAAATACGTGCAATCTTGCGGCAGAAATGAGCCCCTAAAGCCAGTTTCACGTCCTGGCCTCACAACAGGGGAAAAAGGAGGCTTTCGTTTTGTTTTAAATGTGATTGATCGAAGTTTCGTCCGCCTCATTTTCCCTTTCTTGTGTTCATGATAAAGACACGATGCGCATAGCGGAAAATTCCAAAAATGAAATGACATTTCGTGGCGCGAATAATCATTAACTTGGATGAATGCATTTGTTTCTAGATCAAAGTTCTTGCTGGAGTGGATGCTATGTCAGAAGGTTATAGGAAAGTGGCTTCACGCCGGCCTCGTCCAGGAGGAAACGTACGTTTTTCTTTTCTTTTCTTTCTTTGATTAAAAAAAATAATAATGAATAATAATAATGAAAATAAATCAACAAGTCATGCCTACTGTGCCTTGTTTCACCTTGACCCGTACTAGTTACCTGTTTAACCGGGTGTTATGATAGACACACCTTCTAAATCAACGCGCGGTGTAAACTGCAAAACTTTTGTAACGACCGCTCGAACTTTTACCCAGCGTCTTGCGTTGAGCGTTATAGGTGCAAATGCACGATTGTAATTAACTCTGAAAATCTAAATGCAAATAATTCATATGTAAGTTCTAAAAACTACCATCCGCTTCCTCAGCGCTTTCTCAAGTTGTAAACGTACTGTTAAGTGAAAAATATCCTCAGGGACAAAATCTTCTAACCAGCACTTAGCGGGTTCCTCTTCTCCTAATCGTAGAATGAACTTGTTCGACACAGTCGTCTTGTTCTTTCGATTGCTCAAGCCACTTTGCCTGCGATTACTTAGTCCTCTTGTAAACTTTGATCTAAACTCATCGTTCGAGAATAGCTCATTGGCGCTGACCAAACTGTCCACGGGCCCTCCGAGGTAGCGCTCGTCACTAGCCCCCCTCGCTGCAGCGAGAAAAAGTTTGCGACGACGAATACCTGCGAGTCACTGGGAATGAGACTCATTAACGCTGACGTAAGCATTTGACAATGGTAGACTCTCAGATATCGCAACGAAGGGCAGTTTGTTATGAATCTTCCGAGGGCGCTGTTTGTTACTTCACTGCTATAGCTGAGATCCAATACTTCTAAAAAAGAGCAGGGGTTTTGAGTCATCGCATTCAGGACATCGTCTGTGATTGCGTGACCATACCTGTTTGGAATAGAGTAGCTGTTGTCGTTACAGTTGTCTCCGGCCAATCACTTTTTTTGTTTTTCAAGGCCTACCAAAAAGGTCATTTTCAGTGTAAACGCAGTTAGCGGTGCAGAATGCTTTAGGATTCTAGTCGTACTCGAGACTTCAAAACTGTTAATACCGCAAAATTCCGAAAATAAGCCCCGGGGCTTATATTTTTCGAAGGCCCTCTTCGAGGGACTTATTTTTGGAGGGGCTTATATTCGGAGGGGCTTATCTACGGAGGGAAATTTGCGTTTTAAAATCGATTGGGCTAGCCTTATATTTGGAAGTAAATTTACTGTTTTTGCTTTGTTTTACTTTGTATTTGAGGGCAATTTTTCAAGTACAAGCCCCCGGGGGCTTATATTTGGAGGGGCGATTTAACGGAGGGTTTTTTGCGTTATCGGTTTGGGGGGCTTATATTTGGAGGGGCTTATACATGAAGGGACTTATTTTCGGAATTTTACGGTAAACAATACCATCGTCGAAGGTTCATGTTGCAGAGGGCCCATACAGAGACCTTGAAACATATTTTGGATTGCTGGGGCCAGCTTACGCTACGCGCAAGCTCAACGACTACCTAAAGGCGCTATAGCTTATTCAGGAGGATCCCCGGTTTGGCTATAGCCCTGCCAGCCCCATAGCTTCGTGGACCCTGCCGTAAGAGTCTTCGCAACTCTCCGTCACAAGTATGCCTTTGTGCCACTCTCCCTCCCAAAGGATTGTGACCCACCAAGGCCAGAGGCTACAGCGCATTGTCACAGTTACATGCCAGTACAGTTCAATGCAGTTGTAGCTTCATGGTTTTGATGATCTAGAGGTGGCATAAATTAAACCATTACTAGATTAGTTTCTTGGTTGTACCCCAAACCTACCCACAACAGCAGAGTCGCAGATAACGGAGAAACCGACAGCGTGGTAACATGAATTTTAAACCGTGTTCAGTCAGGTGTCTGCACCAAGATAAGTCTACTTCTGAAATTACCGACTTCTCCCAGCGAACGGACGTAACAGCGTTGTCCGAAACATTCGTGCCATCAAGCACCAGTGACGTCAGTGACGAGCAGTTATCGATTAGCTTCGGAAGGCTCTCACCCTGAATGTTGTTGCATCTTCGGAGACAGAGTGATTGAAGATTCCTGTGAATAAGATTTTTCAAGATTCGTATTAAACAATGCCTGTCTTGCAATGACCTCTCCTATTACACAGGCTTAAGATTGCGCAAATTTAGCAAGTTTTCACGCTTAGACCTAGTTTTCAGATTACTTATAACGCAGCAGCAGAGCGAAAGGAAATAGCTTCTCGCTGTTAATTAACGTTGCATCTCGTTTTCGTTTGATTGACTTAAACATCCCGCCTTCAGTTAATTCTTAATGGCAGTCAATTCTCTGTTCCCAACCAAAATCTTGGGTAGTGATGGGGAAAATGTTCTCGTTCATCCCAAATTCTTTACCTGCAGTATTCTGCGATGTAACGCACCATTTGATCTGTGAGTGAAGAACAGTAACTGAACTCAAGTATTCTCACAGCTTGTAGCGAGACAAAAACCCGTCGTTTTTCCACTTCCAACTCTAGGCTCTCAAATAATGGATCACTAACCCCAAGGCACTTTACTGTTTGTAGACGGTGGGACATGACTCTAAAGGCGCATGGGTGCCCAGAGCTGTGGCGTATATCCAATTTTGAAAGGTTGTCCGGGAACGATGTCTCCTAGAACAAATACAAATAGCTTACAAATTGTTTTGTTCTAACTCTCTTGTAATCATTTGTGCTGATTCAATACATGAGCCAGAAATTAACAGCAAATAAAGCGCGTCACTCGCCTGCTGTGCGGGAGATTGCGTGGTGAAAGCCAGGCGACAATCGACCACGATCGCTGTTGTTGTTTTCTTTTTAAAAGAAATACTTGTAAGATATTTCTCGCTCTGATATTTTTAAATGTCGCTGTAAACAGTCGCTATTTATAGAACCCAGCTGAGGCAAACAAATTATAATTAACATTAGCGAGTTCATCACTTTTGTCATTGAAATGGAATATCATCCTTACATGTCAGGTAGGAGGGGAAGTAAAAGGACTCCTGACGTTGTTCCAAAAGTGAGGGGATTGAAAACCCTGGTGTCATGGTTTATCTCACTTGTGCCGTGACTGGTCTGGGTGGGCGAGGTGGGAACAAACAAGTGCTGAAGCGACACCAAAGTGCATCTTTTTTGTGCTGTCACGTCCGATATTACCTCTTTGGTAAAAGCGCACTTGAACTATCGAAGCCTGCACGGTGGGAAGCTTATCTCGGTTTCAGTAGCATGAAAGACCAAGGTGTATTGGTATATTGCTGCATTGCTGCCCCCCTCCCCCACCCCTCCTTTCCCCTCCCTAAGAGGGTTACCCCCAGCAGTGTGGTGTGTCGCCGGTACCCATACATGCACCTGTTCCGAGTGAAAAGAGTCAAAGTTCTTGTCTAAGGAAACAACGCAAGAACAAGACATGAATCCAGACCTATACACATCCTAAGTTCGAGTTGTCAACCTCTTATCCGCCGCGTTGTTTCCTCCGTCATTCAACCACTCGTTGCAAGGGAAAAATTGGCACTGTCTTATCTTCTTTTCTTTTTCGTTTTTCTTTCTTTTTTTGTCTTTATACCCCTTACTACTCACCTTCCTCGTGAAGTCTTCAACAAATGTTGTGGACTCTAAACAGAGCACTCTTAGTTTAGGACAATTCTCCACTAGAACGTGAAAAACTCTTGGCGACAACGTAAACCCTCCTAGGTTAAGCTTGTATAGCATTGGCACCATCCGAGAACGAATTACCTTGATAAGGCACATTTCATTGAGTTTGTGAAACCGTTTAAGATTCACTGACTTCCACAGTGAACTGTCATACGCGATCAACCTCCATCTTCGGCAGACCTGGGCAATGTGGCACAAGTCTGTCTCGCTGAGACATCGAAAAATTAATAGCAAAATAGTGTCGGGGAACTCTTGGATATGCATTTTTTAAGAGGAAGTAAAAGGATAAAATCCGACAGTCGCCATGTTTGTGCGTATTAGAACGCGCGCAATCATTTGTTACGTCAGTTAATTGATTATGCATCGGATCAACCATCTTGACAACGGAGCTCGATACAGGTTCGTCGAGATCCACATGTCCACCGAACTCGATCAACAATCTACCCCGGGAAACCGTGCTCGATTTGTTGTAACTAGTATGATCCTAACCGCGCTGGAATCCACTCGTACTCGGTCTCCATAGGCCGTGCTGGACTAGTAATCGACATCGTCTTAACTGAATCGAGCACGACAAGAATCGAGCTCTCATTTACTCTTTCTTTCTTTTAACTTTTAGTTCTTTTGTATATTTACATTGTGAACAAGTTTTCTTCGTAAAACGGAAAAACACCATACAAAAGTTGTCAGTTTTCGTTGAATGCTGTTTATTGCTGTTTCTACTTAGTTGACGCTACATGTACATCTTAGAAAAACTCTTTTTAATCGTCCGCCGTCGTCTGCTACTGTTTATAAATATACCTTACATACAGCTTTGACTTTTCTAAACAAATGTTCTTAAAATACCCGCCCATCGCTTGCTCCGAATCGGCAGCTACATTAATCAATCTTGTTTGTTTTTTTTTCAGTGGCTGTATTCTTCAGATCCTGAAGTTTGATTCCCCTGTTTTGCGTCAGGAACAGACAAACAATGACTTTTAATTTTTGTACTGCTATAGAAAAGCAATTCTGAGGTGGTTTCGCAAAGTTCGATAAAGTGATGGACAAAACTAAAGAATAGGTATACTTTCTCTTTAGTTCCTGCATATTCCCTTACTTTGACTTGCGCTGTTATAGTTCTCGCCGTTCAACAAGATATCCCTATTTATAACAGTATTTTTTTACTTGATATAAACTGGCTTTTTTTTAATGAATACATACATAAATTAATAAATACACAAATAAATAAGCCTTTAGTAAACAAGAACGAGAATTGACAAGTTTAGTTTCAGTGTACGTTTAGGAATAGGTTAGTGTGGTACCAAGTCATCAAATTACTGCAAGTTGCAATGTGTGTATAATACAACATGTTTTTAGTAAATATGACGAGAATGGCATCAGCAACAAACTTTGTATCGTATTTTACCCCTATTCTCTTGTTTAACAAGCCTTTCAAGGAACTAAACTTTAAATCTTTCCATTATGGGAATTTTTATGCGTCTGTTTTGTTGTCAAGAGGTACTTAATAGCCGTGCGAATTAGATCAAAGACAGTTCGCTCGGCCATGTGTTTTTGTTTTGTTTCGTTTTTGTTTTTCATCGGTGTTATTGCTCTTTCAGTTTACTAATTATTTACTGAATAGCTGAAGTAGACGAACCGTCATGAGTTTCCTCCAAACCAACCCCCACCCCGCACCCAAATCTCCTCTCACCACTGTCACAAAGGTTTTCGTGACGTTCCATAATTCTCTCATATGTCATTTTGAAACCAGCGCGTTCGTTAGGCTAAAGTCGGCTATCTTTTGGGAAGACATCATCAAGTCTAACAAAGGAACAAGACAATCACGCTGTTTAAGTCTGTCTCGTCCAATATCGTACTGTATTTCTTCTCATTTTGCTATATACCGAAGTGAAACACTCGGGCTCGCGAAGGTCTATATCGATATTGTGAGCTTTTTTTCGTGGCGGTAACAAGTCTTTGGCCTCGGAAAAATGCATACAGTCAACTCCCTTTATTGCGGACACAGTAGGGACCTCGAGGTAGTGTCCTCATAAGCGAGAGTCTGTAATAGCGGGACTTTATTTCTGTCAAACGTCTGTAATTTGTTTTCGCCAGGGATTTAGCTGCTGCCCGTTTTATCGAAGTGTACGTTATAGCGGGGTGTCCGCAAAGCAAGAGTTGACTGTTTTCGGCCAGAGCCAACGCGATGATGATTTCTGACAAAGCGAAGCGCTTAGGTTAACCCATTCGTCCATGGGAATTTTGCCGAAGAACGTGATTTGAAGCTAGTCGAAATGTTTTCTGGTCACTCTCTGTTTATAAAGAGCTAAAACTTGCCACAAAGCTGTTTACAGGTCGTACACCTCGCGACCGTCTGATCCAGATGCAAAATATAAGCTTGCGAAGTTCGGGCATGAGCAGAAAGTAAAATTTCGAGATTTGGGGTTTAAAAGTGACACAGCGGTCTTCACTTTTTCTTTTCGCTTTCTTTCCTTCTCTCTTCTTTCGCTTTTCTCTCCTCATTTTATTTTTTCTTTTGCATGACATTTAGCAGGTTTTATTTGGGTGGAAACCTTTTTGGGCAAGCTTTCAGGATCTTAGGATTTGACCTCTCACCTCCGCAGGCGCTCCCGCTTGGTTTCCTAATAAAAATAGCAATAATAGAAAAACCCTGCGCGCTCATTTTCTCCTTATCTCCCACCCCCCCTCCTCCACAACACAAAGAGGCCTTTTCTGAGGAGAGAGGATTAGATGAAAGGAAAGATAGGGAGTGGTGGAACAAGATTTAACATGGTTTTTCTCCGGCCTCCTTGACTGAATCTTTCTCATTCTGGTATGGTTTGAAAGATCACTCCACCCTGCACTGGTTAGCAGACACAGTTATCCTTGACCGTTAAAAAGGTAACGACGTCACAAGCGGTAGAAGGGACGTGGATCTGGACGCGCGATTGCGGGAAGTTCAGGGGCAATTGGGTTGAATTTGTTTTAATACCAGGCTGTTCATGTGCCTTTTTCAGACGCCGCTTTGCATCCGGGAACTCGGAATAAAAGAATGTTGGAGAAATGTTTACTGCAGCCAGTATTTGCCAAAAGCGGGAGTTTTTTTCCCCGAGTGATATGGTGATATTTCGCCCGCATAAAGTGGAGAAAGGCTTTGTGTGGTATGGCTTATTTTATCAGTGCCGAGAAAGTATTTTATAGTGGGATACTGTTGACAGACAGTCTTGGGGAGCAAGAGCGGTGCGGTGGTGAGAGCACTCGCCTCCCACCAAAAACAATATGGCTCGGCTTCGAATCCTGGCGTCGACGCCTGTAGGTTGAGTTTGTTGTTGTTAGTTCTCTCCCTTTCTCCGAGAGGTTTTTCTCCGGTTTTCCTCTCTCCTTAAAAACCACCACTTCCGAATTCCAATACGGTCTGGAACATACGGGCACGTTTCAGCGAGTTCTTTAGAACTCCTAGGTGTAAATTTACAATTTACAAATTGACAATTTTTACAAGAGACACAACTCAGCTGTTTGGTTGAGCTGTTACAAGAACATTCTGCATGTTTTTATTCAGTGTTACAGTGCAGCACCTTACAGATGACTAATTCTAAGCTCTGTGGCTAAATTCACTTCTGAAATTCTAGAAATCATGCTTTTAATTAAAGGTAAAGTTCTTAACATTTGGTATAGACTACGAGTGGTCCCCATTTTTCTCCCTCCCCACCGCGTCTCGCCTTTTTCGCGTGGGGTGATTTTCACGCGCGCTCGCGTTTTGCTCGCGTTTCGCTCGCTCTACTATCCCTGATGAAAAATGACGACTACTCGTGGTCTACATTTGGTATAGTCTTCCACGAATCGATTTGGACTAATCAGTTTTCAAACGTTAACCTTGTAATGCACTGCGTTGAAAAGTAACAAGTCTCTTAAGACCATTGCGATACTTACTGCTAAAAGTGAGGCAGACAATCGGGTTGACAGCACAGTTTCCTCTACACATTAAGTAGGTGACAAAATAGTATACTTTAAAACTACAGTAAGACCAAATGGAACTGTCCGAGGAAAAATACATTATTAAAAGGTTACTGAAAAAAGGTATCCAGCAAATGAAAAACACTACAACGATAGCAATAGCCATCTTAAGCACTTTTCTGTTTCTTCGTGTCCTCTGTTTCTCGGCGTTGGCTGACTGTTCACCTGGATGGTCTTGTTTTTTAAGCTTGATCATGATGATGGAGTAAAGTATCACCAACAGGACGAAGGGGGTGTAGAAAAGCACGATAGCACCTACCACGAGGTAATTTGCATATGTGTGTTCTTCGAAGGTTTCTGCCTTCTGACTTTCGCACATGATTCCTTCAGGATAATGAACATGTTTAACAGCAACAAAATATAGCAATTGAACGGCCATCGCGACAGTCCACGTAGCGACAATGAAGAGTGGACGTTTCTTGCTAGTTATCAGAGGGGAACGAAGTGGAACTACAACAGCGACAAAGCGATCCACTGTTATCAGAACAAGGCTCTGAATAGACACTAACAAGGAAACGACTGCAAGAAAAATCTGTATCTTGCACAAGGCCTGACCAAGGAAACCACTAATAAGCCACGAGCCAAAGTGTACCTTTACCACAAGAACAGGGAACGTGAATATTGGATAGAGCAGGTCGGACATGGCCATGTTTGCGATCAACATATTTATCGGTTTTCTCAATGTTGGTGTTTTGTAAACAATTAATACGATGAGAAAATTTCCAACCAGCGAAACGACAAGGATAAAACTGTAAGCAACTGTTGCTCCAATTTTTCCTGCTTCGTGATTTATCAGACTGAAGCAGCTCCAGGAGCTTGATCCAGTTGCTGTTGTGTTCATGCTTACTGACTCATTCACAGGTCTGTTCTCTTGAGGCTTTGTTGCTTCCAGAAACACCTTCTGTTCAAGTAATGCTTATATATGTTTAATATAAATAATACCTCCGTCGAATACCTGATTAGCAAATTAATAATACTATAATACCTTCTCCTAAACAATTGATTTCAATCTAAATTCAATAGATGGACTTCCGTAAAAACTTTGGATAAATACTCCTAGTGAGCGTTTATAATAAAGATGCTAAATTTTCATTAAATGACTTACGCAATAATATAGAGCCGAAGAATTGCAAAACCTGATCCTTTCACGATTGTCCCTTTTTGAGGGCCCACCTGCCCCTCCAGTATAGCTTTTGAGGGGGCTATATGTCAGGTTGTTTGCTTTTTAAAACGCTGAAACGTGTCTCCTGTCCATTAAATTCCATTCAAAAGCTCATTATTAACCCATAAAGAAAAAACGAAAGAAATTGATGTTTGCTGAGTGTCAAAGACACGGCTCAATTTTTCCGACCAAAGTAACCCCAAATCTAAATACTAGTGCAAGAATGGGTTGATCTATATCAGCGATTTTGAAGCCTTTATGTACTTTCTTTTCGGCGAGGATGAAGAATGAATTAACAATTGAAACCCGAATTGCACGCCATCATGCACCATTTAAAGCAACCCTGATTCCTCGAAAAAATCAAAAGCCGTATATATAGCACAATGAAACATGTAAAGTATTCAAAGGAAAAAGTAGTTTTATCCTTCTAAAATCGTGTTCTTTATTTCTGATTTCTTAGCCGTCTCCACGTTTTGAATGACGAATAGACTAGAAAACACACATGTACCTCGCTTAACTGACGATTAAGATTTTTTATGAATGTGTTTATTCATTTTCTTCTAAAAAAAATGTTTAAAAGCAAGAGTATTTTAAGTAGTGTTTTAAAGACGAACGGCAGTGATAAAACACATACAGAGTGAGTGCTTTGAACAACTTTAAAAAGTGCTTTTGAACAAGTTTCAAAACGTCTTGGGAGTATTTCATTTAGATAGATCTGTGAAAGCCCGTCCCAGTCGCTGTTCAGACGATTGAAATGCTATTGAAACGCTACCCGGACAATCGCAAGCGTCCCGGACGATTGAGACACCCTCGATCGCTTCGATAGAGTTGAGTTCTATCCGGACGATCCGGACGATCCTGTAAATTTTGAAGCGATCATGTGGAAACCTCTCAGATGACTGAGACGATCTGGACGATCGAAGGCTATCCCAGAAATCATCACTTTATTCCAGCAATCGAGAATACATTCAGCCCGGATGGCGCCATGGATAATAGAAAGAAAGTCTATCTATTATTCATGATGGCGCTGAAGTCGAAGTCGCGTATGGGCGCTATTTGAAACTAGGGAAAGTCCGTGACATCGAGTTCGACGTGATTCTATGTCTTCGTGGAACTCTTCTAGCTTCTCAACACCGGAAAATCGAGAGAAAGCGCACATTTAAGGCATTAGATTCGCTCTCCGAATGAAAATCATCATTATGTTTGGCTCGGTTTGCGAAACACGCGCAGAAACTCTATTGTCTCACCCAAAGCCGATCGCAGACGACCCCGCGTCTCTTAATAGACCTTTTTACTGATACAGCGGCCATATTGAATTAATTCGATTTAAGGAGTATTATAGGATGCCCAGGGGGCATGAGCACATTTCGTTTGTATTTTCGAGCGCTTTTCGGGACATTTTTTCTTAAAGATTTCTTAGAATAAGATTGTAATGTGAAAAAAGATTGTTGTGTCGTGTTTGGATGTAATAATGATCGCCTTTTTCTTGTTTAGTATTAGAAATATGGTCTTCACTGTATATTTCTCGGGAAAACGGCGATCAACGACTGGGACGATCCGGACGATCATATGGAAACCAGGCTAAAATAATGCATCTTTTTGTTTTAAAACATGTTGATTTAAAAAAGGGGTCTTTCTGCAGGTACCGGAAAGCTTTGTATTTTTGGTCACTTGGGATTAGTCTTTATTTGGAGTTGTTTTGTTTCCTGTCTTTTATTACTATTGTATTACGTAATCTGTGCTCCGGTACTCAAAGAAGGAACCGAAAAAAGTTAATCAAAAGAAGCAAAACTGATAACAAATGTTTGGCAGAAACATTAAATAATATGCAAATGCATTATTCAACTGAAGTACACAGTTTAAACGTCTACTTGCCTTCGCAGTCAGCAAACCAAATGAAAGGAATTTCACAGTCAACCGGCTGCACAAGAGAAAAAAACTTTCTGGAGAAGAGTGTCCCTAAATGTAACTACATTACGCAACGTAATGGGCTTTGAATGCCGAGGTCTACTCAACGCGTATATTAAACCGACTGTTTCTTTCTTGCCGTATCTCTAAATAAATCTAGAGGTGCTAATGCCAGGCGTAACTTGACTTGGAAAGTAAAACAATACTGAATGCCTTGCTGGCAATACGGCAAAGGGCTGGTTTATTTAAACTTCGTGACTGGCAATTAAAACATAAATAAAAATTCAATGATACTTGCAAAGTATTCAAGGGAAAAGTACTTTGATCCTTCTAAAATCGTGTTTTGTTTCGTGCCGTAGGTGCTTTGAACAGATTCAAAAAAGCCTCCGGAGTATCTCATTTCAATAGAATTGCTAAGCAATGTGTTCTTCTTGTTTAAAATGTGTTGATCGAATATTAAAAGTTAAACAACAAATGCAGCAAAATATATCAAATGTTCCACAGAGATTTTTATGCAAATGTATTATCCAACTGAAGTATATTGATCGGCTAACACCGTCAAATTTTGTAAAAGCTAAAGATTCGCTTCGAATCAGCGTGTTGAAACATCCACTGTAAAGAGTTCAAAAGCAAATGCAATCATGCTAATTCGGATTAAATTTAGACAGTCTTTGAATAGACTGAAGTATTTTTAGTTGCGTGAAGTTCTACAAATTGAATAAATTCTTCTTGGAATAATAGCCGAATGTTGCTGGTGTCCGAGCACGAACAATAACCAGGAAAAGGATGTACAAATGGGATTTCTTGATTGACAGTCTCTCTACGTCATTTTTCACTTATCGACAATTGACTCCAGAAAATACCATAATATACCATAACGCTCTTTGTTTGTCACCCCAAAATTTTGCATAAGCATTGTCTTCAGTTTCTCTTGTGAGTTAAAATGGCCCAAGAGAAACTGAAAACAATTATTGTACAAAACTTAAGAGCATTGTGGTATGTTATGGTATTTTCTGGAGTGGTCAGTTATCAATGAGCACGTTTCTGTAATGGTGTTCCATTTGAAATTTTTGTCCAACACTCGTTTTCTCTTTGCTTGCGGATCGAAGCACTTTTATGGTCATGGCAGTCAATTCTACGATCATTTAGAAACACTGCTCTTAAATTTGCACAACGTTTTATTAACGAAAAAATTGAACCTGTTCTTTAAGCAGTTTGGTTCACAACTTACCCTGATTTTTAGATGCAAGAGTAAACAAGATAATAATAATTAATTACTATCTTGTTTAAGAAAAACCACTAACCGCAAACTGATCAAACAACAACAAAAAAATGACGGACTTAAATAATACCGATAAACTAATAAATTGCAAGGTCATTATCAGCTATCATTTACACCTTACCACGTCATACCATGCAACTTCCGTTTATTATTTTACAGCAGCATATGTTCTGTAAATTCGCGTTTTTTTCCTAATAAACCTGATGAAGACTGGTATTGGCCAGTCGAAATATTGCCTTTTTTGCGTTGTTTGACCAGTCTTTGCAGTAGTCTTTTTGACTATACCGGGTAGTCCTTTTTTTTCTCTGTTTATCTTTTTCGACTGATAACGACCTTGTTTGGTCCAAAGTTGAGCAACATTGATCGTTCACGGTTTTGCAGTGATTTTTCAAGCGTTAATTTCCGATAATAATGTTTCATCATCATCATCACCATCATTATTTTGAAGTAAAGTTTTTTAATCCTTATTATTATTATTATTATTATTATTATTATTATTATTATTATTATTATTATTATTATATCTGAACTTGTTCAACGAAATGAGTAGAAATTATAGAGATGTGTGAGATTTGTTAACCTCTCCATGAGTTCCCTTGGCGTTTTCTCCGATGAATGCTCCACGTTCTTAGACATGATGAATGACATTGGCATTGACAAAAAGCAGCAACGTTATATAATCAAGAAAATGATAAATATAGCCATTAGAGCAACATATTTACATCTTTTGTTGTAGAAATAGGAACTGGGATATCCCAGACTTAATGCAATTTTGATTTTTTTTTTGTTTTTTTGACTTTTGTTTCGATTTGTTTTTGTTTTTGTTTTTTTGTTTTTGTTTTTTTCTTTTTAATAATCCAATCTCAAGCAGCATTTGTAAATTGCCTATACGTAGGAAGATTAACAATTGTACATTCAAAAACGCAAATAAAGTTTCCATTATTATTATTATTATTATTATTAATATTATTATTATTATTATTATTTATTTATTTATTTATTTATTTATTCATGTTTACACGAAACGCTTAAGACCTAGCTTTTAGTTTCAAAAGCTAATCTTTCACTGTATCACAGCAATTTACAAGTCTCTTAAGTGCTTGACGATAATTACTGCTAAAAATGAAGCAGATAATCGGGTTGATAGCACAGTTTGTGTAAGATATATAACGGGCGACAATAACGTATAGAAAAAAACTACATGAAAACCAAATGGAACTGTCTGGTGCACTAAAACCAACTATCACAAAGTTACTGAAACAAGGTATCAAGCAAATAAAAAACACTACAACGATAGCAATGGCCATCTTAAGCACGTTTCTGTTCCTTCTGGTGCGTTGTTCTTCGGCGTTGGCTGACTGTTCACCTGGATGGGCTTGCATTTTAAGCTTCATCAAGATGATAGAGTAAAGTATCACCGCGAGGACAAAGGGGATGTAGAAAAACACGACAACAACTGCTAGGGTGTAATTTGGATATGTGTTCCCTCCGAAGGCTTCTATCCACAGACTTTCGCACATCAGTCGTCCTTGGTATTTAACAAGTTTATAAGTAACAAGAAATGGCGAAAGAACAGCCATTGCTATGAACCACGTAGCGATAATAAAGAATGAACACAGCTTTCTAGTTATGAGAGGAGAGCGGAGTGGAACCACAACAGCTCCAAATCGATCCACTGCTATCAGAACTAAGCTCTGAATCGAAACGAACGAGGAAGCATCTGCAAGAAAAGTGTGTAGCTTGCATAAGGCTTGACCAAGGGTACCACCAATAAACCACGAGCCAACGTGCATCTCTACCAGTAGAACAGGGAACAGGAATGTTGGATAGAGCAGGTCGGATATGGCCATATTTGCAATCAACAGATTAATCGGTTTTCTCAAAGTTTGTGTTTTGTAAACAATTAATACGATGAGAGAATTTCCAACCAGCGAGAAAACGAGGCTCAAACTAAGAGCAACTGTTGCTCCAATTTTTCCTGCTTCTGGATTTATCAGACTGGAGCAATTCCAAAAACCTGATCCATTTACTGTTGTGTTCATGCTTACTGACTTCTCGACAGTTGTGGTCTCTTGAGGCTTGTTTCTACTGAAAAACATTCACAGTTCAAATAATGGTTTAATATATTGTGTATCTTTAATATTGAACAATCGACAACACTTCTGGCGTCACTGTATTTAATTGTGAGCGAATACTGCCAACTGCGGTCAGTGTAATCTTTGACGTATTTCAATATGACAACCTTTGAAGTGTGATCCACGATGACTGTGGTTTCGGTTCGTACCCCCTTTGATTAACGGGCGGGACATTCGTGCCTCGTGAAAATTGGTTTATAAAGCACGTGATACGTGAAATTTGTCAAAATTTACACGTAAAACGAGACCATATTTCACCCTTTGCTACCTTCTTTTTTTGTAAGGGAAAAGGCACTAACATTGTTTTTACAATCTTGAAAAGGTCTTGAATTTTACTAGTCGTCTGGAAAAGTCCTTGAAATATACAACCTTGTCTACGCAAGACACCTTTTACTGAGGAAAATTTGGCTCATCCTTAGTGTAAGAACCTGTACTTAAGCTCACCGGTAGTGTTAAAACATTTTTGTGCACGTGATACGGAAAATTTGTCAAAATTTGCACGTAAAACTGGACCATATTTCACCCTTTGCTACCCTTTTTTTTGTATGGGAAACTGAGGCACTAACATGTTTTCGACAATCTTGAAAAGGTCTTGAATTTTACTAGTTGTCTTGAAAAGTCCTTGAAATATACAACCTTGTCTACGTAAGACACCTTTTTCTGAGGAAAATTTGGCTCATCCTTAGTGTAAGAACTTGTAATTAAGCTCACCGGTAGTGTTAAAACATTTTTGTGCATGAACAATATTTTATTTCTGTTCCTTTCTTCAAACGAAAATTGGTTTATAAAGCACGTGATATGTGAAATTTGTCAAAATTTGCACGTAAAACGGGACCATATTTCACCCTTTGCTACCATTTTTTTTGGTATGCGAAAAGGCACTTACTAACATGCTTTCGACAATCTTGAAAAGGTCTTGAATTTTACTAGTCGTCTTGAAAAGTCCTAGATTTCAGTTTAGGTCCTTGTAGAAGTAACTTGTCTTGATATCTATATTTGGTCTTGAAAAGTCCTTGAAACATACAACCTTGTCTACGCCAGACACCTTTTTCTAAGGAAAATTTGGCTCATCCTTGTTGTAAGAACCTGTTAAGCTAACAAGTAGCGTTAGAACATTTTTGTGCATGAACAACATTTCATTTCTGTTCTTTTTTTTCAAATGCTATTTCTGTACCTCACATGAAATTGCAAGTCATACCCAGTCATTTTGCATCAAAGGGGGTTAAAGAATGCCAATTTATTAAATAAATCTGTAGTTACTCCTTTAAAAAACTGTAATTTGTCCTTAAAAAATCTTTGAAAAGTTCTTGAAATTTGTTTGTCTGAAGTTGTGCGAACCATGACTAATTACTGTGTAATTACTTAACCAAAGAATGGAGCTAAATACATCAATATCCTCATGAAATAGCCCGTTTTAGCTCTCTTAAATGGTACTTATGATAAAGAAGGTAAAAAAAAATAGTTGAACTAATATTGCAGAAGGAAGACAGTGTTGCTATCAATAGAAATACGTTCGATGTTTAATAATATACATTGACATATTTTAGAGCGCTCTTTTACCGAGGGCACGTCTGTTAATCCCAAACAGCGCACAAAAGCTTAAATTAAGAGCAGAAAGTTGAAATCAAATTTATTGACAGGAGAGTTACGAGTCTCTTGGTAGAACAATCGACAACTCCTTTATGTACTTTTTCTTCAGCGAGGATGAAGAATGAATAAAGAAAAGCAAATTGTATACCCATGTTACCATAGAGCGGTTTTCACTTGACTGTCGAAAGTAATTGAGGGATTGGTTTGGTTTTGGTTTTGGTTCGTCTTTCTGATTGGCTTTTTAAAATAGCTCTACCAATCAGCGAGGAGGCATTGTTTTCTCAGCCAATAAAATTCGCAAGTAAACGCAAATCGTGTTTTGGTTTTGGTTTTACTCAAGTTTCACTCACGGAATTTCTTTCGCAGTTGCAGTCATGAAAAATTGAAGAAGGGATTGGTTTTGGTTTTGGTTTTGGTTTTACTACGCCCTTTGGTTGGCTAGTGTATTTACTTTAGTTTTGGTTTTACGACAGTCAAGTGAAAACCGCTCTAATCCCATAAAGCAACCCCTGATTTAATTCAAGTGGCATTTTGAACCCACTCCGCGAAAAAATAAAAAGCCTCATAGCACAATGCAAAGTACGTTACTGACTATCAAAACATAAATAAAAATTCAATGAAACTTGCAAGGTATTCAAGGTATTATACTACTACATTTCTGCAATTTGACTGGCTTAGAGCAGTGGTGATTCAGCTTAATTTGAAATGCCTACATGTGAAATTTACAAACCTTTTGCAGGTAGTAGTATAAACAAATAATAGCATAATTTGGCATAAATACCACTCGTGATATTTCAAAATTGTCTCAAATTTCACTCGCCTAACGGCTCGTGAAATTACGTATAACAATTTAGAAATATCACTCGTGGTACTTATGCCAAATATCACTACAAATCATGCTATTACCTATACAAAGTACTTTGATCCTTCTAAAATCGTGTTCGTGTTGTGTATCTCATTTCAGTAGAATTGCTAAATAATGCGTTACAATGTGACGCAATTGACGTAAAGCAGCAATATTGTAACATCCTCATGACATGACCCACTTAATTAATACCTAAAATAAAGTTGGCACAAGTATCGTGTAAGACAGTGACAATGATGTTTTCAAAAAAGAAGTCAATAATCCATAAACAAAAAAACAAAAAAAATATATGTTTAATGAGTGTCTTTATATCTGTTTATGGCACGGATACGGCTAAATTTTTTACACCTTAAATCCGCAAATCTGAATATTAGTGTAAGAATGAGTTGTTCTACATGTATATCAGATATTTTAAAGGATATAAATTATGTACTTTCTTTTCGGTGAGGATGAATTTCGAAGAATGATCAAACAAACGCAAATTGCACGCCATCATTAATCATAAGTAAAGCAACTCTGATTTCATTCAATCGGAATTTTGAACCAAACTCCTCGAAAAAATCAAAAGCCGCATGAAACATGTAAACTGTTCAAAGGAAAAAGTAGTTTGATCCTTCTAAAATCATGTTTTCTTTCTATCTGATTTTTAAGCTGGCTTCGCGTTTGGAATGACGAATACAAGAAAACATATATACACCTCTCTTAAAGCTTTCTTTTAACAAGTTTACGACAACTGGGAGTTCTTAGTATCTTTTTCTTTTCATTTGCAACTAAACAAATGTTTAAAAGCTAGGGTTTTTTACGTAATAAGACGAACAGCGGTAATAAAACACGTGCTGTGAGTGCTTTGAACAGCTTCAAAAACTTCCCCTGAGTTTTGTTTTTTTTTTCAATAGATCAGAAATGCTAAACAATGCTTTGGTCTCAAAAAATTAATTCTTTCGGTCCTTCGGGCCTCAGTTTGGTCTAAAAAATAAGGGGAGGGCGCCCCCCTGGATCCGCCACTGGGATAGCACAAGGCAAAATTGGTTACAGAATAAAAAAAATAGTGCAGTAATAATAGATTTTAAAAAATGGTGAACATGATTATTCATAAGCGTCTGTTTTTCCTTTCTCTCCTATGGGAAGTCTAGCTAGTCTAGATAACTTAAATTCTTTACAGCAAGACCATTGTTTTTTTTTTTTTTTTCGTTTGTTTTGTTTTGTTTTTGTTTCTTTCTCTTTTTTTTTGTGGCTTTTTGCTTATAAGGCATGCACCGGTGAATAGGCAGGTGTTCGGGGTCGTTGTGGTTATGACATGAACGGAGAACTGGCTGAAGGCCTTAAGATGACGCTGGGTATTGAAAGACTTTCTTTGTTGTTATCAACATAACAGTTCCACCGGCAGATGTTTTATATTCGAGCGGCTGCTGAGTTTACCCTATTGCACCTTAATTCAAACCCATCAGTTGTCTTTACAGTGAGACCGCAGAACGCTGAGCTCTTCTTTCACTTCTGCTGAAATCCTCGTCTTGGTTCGTGACAGGAACATGGATGGCTACGTGCTCAGTACTTGAATTAGGTTTCAAAGTTCGTGCGTCGATCTCCTATCATACCTATTACTTACCCTGCCGATTGTGCATCAAACCATCCAGAAACGATGTTTTACAATTGAACGGCTACACCAGCTTCAATTGGCGTTTTTGGGCGTACTTTATGGAGAAAATGCGTTTAAATAAATACAACTTTAACTTTTAAGTTCCATCCTTCTTTAGGTTAGGGTTAGGGCTTGCCCCAACTGGTTACGTTGCTGTCGAAAACATAATTTGCATGCACTTCTTAAAATTCAGTGAACTCGCTGTTATTTTACAGTAATTAGTAATTATTACTGAACGACCCTTCTATTTATTTATCTAGTTTTGTTTTTTATTCTTTATTTTTTTTCACGAACCACCACACCCGGATTTGACAGGTTTCAAAAGTTAATCTTGCACTAGTCTTGCACTGCATCACAGCAATTCACAGTCTGTTAAGAGCTTGGCGTTAGTTACTGATAAAAATGAGCCGGACAGATAAATCACAGTATAAAGTATAGAATAAAACTTTTCCGTTGCTAAATCAACTAATACCAGATTAGTGGTCACTGGTATCCAGCAAATGAGGAACACTACAACGGGTAGTAACGGCTACCTTAAGCACTTCACTTGTGTGTTGTTCCTAAGCGTTGGCTACTGAACTGTTCACCTGGTCAACAGGCCTGCCTTTTAAGCTTGATCAGGATAATGGAGTGAAGTATCACCAGGAAGACAAGAGGGATGTAGAAAAACACGATATAGCACTTGCTAGCAGGTAATTTGCATATTTGGTTCCCTTGAAAGCTTCCTGCCACTGATTCTTGTACATCATCCCTCCAGGGTATTCAACAAGTTTAACAGCAACAAGATATGACCAAGGAACGGCAATTGCGACGATCCAGGTAGCGACAATGAAGAATGGACACTGCTTGCTGGTTATGAGAGGAAAACGAAGTGGAATTACAACATCTCCAAATGGATCCACTGTTATCAGAACAAGGCTCTGAATCAAAACTTTCAAGGAAACATTTCCAAGAAAAATTTGTATCTTGCAGAAGGCCTGACCAGGGATACCACCAATAAACCAGGAGCTGAGCAACCGAGCCAGGTTAGCAGGGAAACTAAAAATTGCAAAGAGCAGGTCGGACATGGCCATGTTTGTGATCAACGTATTTGTCGGTTTTCTCAAAATTGGTGTTTTGTACACAGTAATTTTTAGGGAGTTATTATAACTCCAAAAATGGAGTAAAGATAACCCCCTTTTTGGGGTTACTTTAACTCCTAATTTAACTCCAAATTTGGGGTAATTTTGCTCCTGAAAAGAGTTCTTTTATCTCCCAGTCTGAGTGAGTGGAGTTAAAATAACTCCGAAAATGGGGTTATTTTTACAAATTTGGGGTAATTTTACTCCTGAAAAAGGAGTTCTTTTTACTCCCAGCCAGGAGTTAAATAACTCCGAAAATGGGGTTATTTTTACTCCTTACATGGGTTGTCTTTACTCTTTTTGGAGTTACTTTAACTCTGAAAATGGAGGAAAAATTTTAGGTACAGGATAACTTCTTTTGGGGGGTTATTTTAACTCCTCAACATCTGGGGTCATTTTTACTCCTGAAAAATAATTCTTTAAACTCCTTTTTGGAGTGAAAATAACTCCCCCCAAAATAAGTGCACTGTAAGGAGTTAAATTAACCCCACTAGACCAGTTACTATAACTCCTTGAAAATTACTGTGTAAACAAAAAATATAACGAGAATATTTCTAACCAGCCAAACAATAAGGATCAAACTGAGAGCAACTGTTGTTTCGAATTCATTATTAGATAAAAAACCTGGGGACGAGGACTGTGACTGCGCCATGCGGTTGTTAAGTCAGCTCACGATATGACCAATTTACATTGCACTATCATAGACTAAACTTTTAATGACATAAAAATATTAAAAGATCCTAAAACACTAATTTACAAGCTCACCCGATTATCGACTTTCTAAAATTAGCGGACAGTCACACACTTGGCTAGCTTTTAAGCGGCAGTCATCTCATGACCACTTTACATTCCGCTATCATATACTAAAATTTTAATGAAATAAAAATATTAAAAAGATCCTAAAATACTAACTTACAAGCTCACGCCATTATCACTTTCTAAAATTAGTGGACATACCCTTGGCTAGCGTTTAAGCGGCCGTCATCAATGAAATCTCCTTGTGGAATTTCTGGAAGGGTGTCCTGAAACCTCTTACGCATGTGTGTTAACCGACCTTAAAATCTCCAAAGAAATCAGTGTTTTAATCCAAGTAATACTAATGTGGTAAGGTTCCTCATTCTTTTCTGAGAGCTTCCTGGCTAGGCGTTTGAGAAAGTAGTTGCAATCGGCTCCCATCCAACCGTTGGTTCCAAAAACTAGGGGAGTGAAAGATCGTATTTCAACTTCCAGCACCCTCTGTTGGTACTTCCGCTTTTTCTCCTCCTCCTGCTCCTTAGAGATTGTGGATGTTGCTTTTCCCTGGTAACACTTGGAGTTAACATGCGTTACTCTGACCATCAAAAAATGCTGTAACTCCACGAAACCAAAAGACCACTAGCTGCCTTCAAATGCAGTCTTGCCTCCAGGCTTGTTACCGCTCCTCTGAGGTTGAATAGCTCATTATCGAGAGGTTGTAGTTGTGGTTCGACTTCAAAGTTGGTGCAAACCTTACCAATAAGTGAGGTAAGTAGGTTGCGAACACCACCGTGTCTGCGCCACGAACCCTCCCTTTTGGCATTACAGGGCTTGGCGGACGTTATACTTCTCACCACAAAACAAACTTGCTTGGTAAGTCTGACAGGGGCACATTATTGTTTTCTTTCCCTCAGACTCAGTCCGACTTGAGCACCTCATTCCTCCAGGGTATTCAACAAGTTTATAAGCAAGAAAATACGGCGAAAAAAACGGCCATTGCAACGATCCACTTGGCGACAATGGAGATTGGACAGTGCTTCCTATAGAGTGACCAGAGGGCAAGGAAGTGGATTTAGAACAGCTCCAGATCGATCCACTGCTATCAGAACCAGGTTCTGAATCGATATACTAACACAGAACAATCTGGAAGAAAGACGTGTAGCTTGCATAAGGCTTGACCAAGGGTACCACCAACGAGCCACGAGCCAAAGTGCATCTTTGCCAGTAGAAAAGGGAACAGGAATGTTGGATAGAGCAGGTCGGACATGGCCATGTTTGCGATCAACATATTTATCGGTTTCAAACGTCGTGCTATGATTGCCGTGCCGAACTATATTGATCGAATTAAATTCGACTTTAGCTCGGCAGTATATAACCACAGGTCACCCAGGCTCTGTGATAGTACCACAGTACGGTTCTAGTAAAATTACAGTGTTTGTATGGGGTAAAAATATCATCCTAAAATTTCTAGGAAATACTAAATAAAGATCAATAACACTTACTCTGCAGTTAATTGTTGTTGTCCTTATTGCTCCAACGAAGTTTCGTGATAATTTGCAGTAATTTGTTTAAATTCACTCTATCTACAATAATAATATACAAGGTAGGAAACACGAGGTGCCATTTTCGCCGACATGCTCTCATTCAACACAACTTTTTCCACGAAATTCGAACTCCAACGGAAAATAAACATGACAGGATCGTAGAAATAGGATAGCAGCAGATATAGAAACCAATGAAGCTTTCCCAGATAGAGAAACGAATCCCACAGACTTTGACAAACTCGAAGAATATAATCCAAACAGACCGAGAATATGCTCGCCGAAGCAGCCGGGCCAGATCAACGCGCGGCCAAGAAAATGAGGCCCGGGCACTGTACAAAAAAAATCACCCCGGGAGTCCTGAGGTGACCTTTCTGGGCACCGATACATCATTTGCCCAAAGCCACCCTACCCTGCTGAAAAAATACTTAATAGAAGGCAATTGTTCTTCCTAGCAATACCACCCTGGCCTGTTATAAAGAGATTATGTCCCCCTCGAACTATATTCAGCGCCTGGCGCTGGTCCTCAGAAAGTTTATCGAACATCAATAGGGCAAGGTTAAAAGGGCAAAGGAAAGAACAACGAAGGAGGATTTACAAAACTTATAACGAGCAAAAAATATAAGTGAATTTTGGCTCTTACCGAGGCATTTGTACTACAGGACCAAATTCAAAGAGAGGTGTATCACGATGATTCACATATTTAACCGATAGAGCGTCCACTTGTATTGACAAGAAGTCGGCGTGTTACTGCTGCATTAATCGCTAAATATGTTAATCGCGCAAGTTCTTTGTTTACTGGTGCACGTGCCTTTCACATTCGTCTCAGTTATCCCAATTCATATTCTGTCGCAATTTTCTGTATAATTTTTGACATTAGTTTGTAAGCTTCACCGTTTATTTACGATTCACAGCAACAGTATCTCAGTCATCATCTACCTTTTGCTCAACCTTGTTTTAGCCCGCCTTGCAAGTATTTCGCGTTGTTATTTCATTAGTTTCATTACTGTTATTTGCATTCCTTAGTAAAAGAAATGGGGCACCTTGTAACTCCGCAGACTCTCCTGATTATATTAATGTTTTTTTAGCCATTTAAATTTAGGCGCGTGTGCGCAGTTTGCTCTGGCAAATAGTGATTGGCTAGGAAGAACAATTGCCTTCTATCCAGTATTTTTCCAGCAGGGGAGGGTGGCTTTGGGCAAATGATGTATCAGTCCCTAGAAAGGTCACCCAAGGACCCGGCGAGCATATTCTCGGTCTGTTTGGATTATATTCTTCGAGTTTGTCAAAGTCTGTGGGATTCGTTTCTCTATCTGGGAAAGCTTCATTGGTTTCTATATCTGCTGCTATCCTATTTCTACGATCCTGGACTGTTTATTTTCCATTGGAGTTCGAATTTCGTGGAAAAAGTTATGTTGAATGAGAGCATGTCGGCGAAAATGGCACCTCGTGTTTCCTACCTTGTATATTATTATTGTAGATAGAGTGAATTTAAACAAATTACTGCAAATTATCACGAAACTTCGTTGGAGCAATAAGGACAACAACAATTAACTGCAGAGTAAGTTTTATTGATCTTTATTTAGTATTTCCTAGAAATTTTAGGATGATATTTTTACCCCATACAAACACTGTAATTTTACTGGAACCGTACTGTGGTACTATCACAGAGCCTGGGTTACCTGTGATATAACGCGACGTTTGAAACCAAGTCATGCTAGTGCCGAACTCAATTCATAAATTATGAATACATTAGAATACATTTAAAAGTTAGCTAAATCGTTTCTTTATTTTTTGTGTTTTGTTTTCGGCAACAGCCGTTCTATTCGACTGAATTAAATTTGACGTCTGAAACCAAGTCGAGCTAGTGTCGAGCTACAGTCTAGCCAGCTTAGCACGGCAGTAATACGACGTTTGAAACAAGCCTAATAAAGTTGGTGTTTTGTAAACAAGTAATACGATGAGAACATTTCCAATTAGTGAAACAGCAAGGATCAAACTGCAACTGTTAGTCCAATTTTTCCTGCTTCTGGATTTATCAGACTGGATCAGCTCCTGTGAGGAACTTGATCCATTTACTGTTGTGTTCATGCTTACTGACTTTTCTACAGTTTTGTTCTCTTGAGACTTGAGTGCTTCCACTGAAAAACATCTACAGTTCAAATAATGGTTTAATGTACAGCTAAATCAAAAAAGGTTGGTTTGGTAATTGGACTTGCTGAATAATGCGTATTTGTTTTTTAAAACGTGTTGATTGAGTGAAGTTAAACAACAAAAACTGCAAAAAATAACAAATGTTGCGCGGAAATGTTTATGCAAATGCATTATCCAACTAAAGTACGATTCGAACGCCGTGAAAGTTTGTAAAAGATAAAAATCATTTCAAATCAGCCTCTTGAAACATCCACGACAAAATCAACAACAATCATCGAAGACTAACTTAAAGTTTAAAGCGTTTTAAAATAAATAGTTACATGCTAATTCGCATTAAATTTAGACACTTTTTCAATAGACTGAAGTCTAATTAGCAACGTGAAGTTCTATTCTTCTTCCAATAATAGCCAAATGTTGCGGATGTCCGAGCAATAACAATAACCAAGAAATGGATATGCACAGGGGATTTCTTGATTGACATTCTCTCTACGTCATTTTTTACTTATTTTTATTTTTACGATCGTCAATTATCAATGATCACGTTTCTGTGATGGTGTTCCATTTCAATTTTTGTCCAACACTCGTTTTCTCTGTACTTGCTGATTGAACTATCATTGTCATATTTCAGTCAATTCTACGATCATGTAGAAACACTGCTCTGAAGTTGCACAACGCTTTATTGAGGAGAAAATTGAACCTGTTCTTTAGAGCTTTAGACCCAGCTTTAAGGTTTCTAAAAGTTAATCTTGTACTTTATCACAGCAATTTATAAGTCTCTTAAGTGCTTGGCGATAATTACTGCTAAAAATGAGGCAGATAATCGGGTTGATAGCACAGTTTGTGTAAGATATATAACGGGTGACAATTACGTATAGAACAAAACTACATGAAAACCAAATGGAACTGTCCGGTGCACTAAATCTAGCTATCACAAAGTTACTGAAATAGGGTATCAAGCAAATGAAAAACACTACAACGATAGCAATTACCATCTTAAGCACGTTTCTGTTTCTTTTAGCGCGTTGTTCTTCAGCGTTGGCTGACTGTTCACCTGGATGGGCATGCATTTTAAGCTTCATCAAGATGATAGAGTAAAGTATCACCACGAGGACAAAGGGGATGTAGAAAAACACGACGACAACTGCTAGGGCGTAATTTTCAAATGTGCCTCCGAAGATTTCCATCCACAGACTTACGCACAACAGTCGTTCTCGGTATTTAACAACTTTATTAGCAACAAGAAATGGCGAAAGAACGGCCATTGCGGTGATCCACGTAGCGATAATAAAGAATGGACACAGCTTTCTAGTTATGAGACGAGAGCGGAGTGGAACTACAACAGCTCCAAATCGATCCACTGATATCAGAACCAGGCTCTGAATCGAAACAAACGAAGAAGCATCTGCAAGAAAAATGTGTAGCTTACATAAGACTTGACCAAAGGTACCACCAATAAACCACGAGCCAACGTGCATCTCTGCCAGTTGAACAGGGAACAGAAATGTTGGATAGAGCAGGTCGGACATGGCCATGTTTGCGATTAACAGATTAATCGGTTTTCTCAAAGTTGGTGTTTTGTAAACTGTTAATACAAGGAGAAAATTTCCAACCAGCGCGAAAACGAGGCTCAAACTATAAGCGACTGTTGCTCCAATTTTTTCTGCCTCTGGATTTATCAGACTGGAGCAGCTCCAGAAACTTGATCCATTTACTGTTGTGTTCATGCTTACTGACTTCTCGCCAGTTGTGTTCTCTTGAGACTTGCTTCCACTGAAAAATATCTACTGTTCAAATAATGGTTTAATGTATTTTATATGTTTAATACTCAACCATCGACAACACTCCGGCGTCACTGTATTTAATTGTAAGCAAATGCTGCCACCTGCAGAGGTTTTGTATAGTGTTATTGATCAGCAAACTGATGCAAATTATTATGTAAGTCAATTAAAGCTTTAGTAGTTCTTCCTAAACGACTGGATGATCAAGGTACATATATATCAAAACGTTAAATAAATACTCCTAAGTGTCGATAAGTGTCGCTAATAGACCTCTTTAGCTCATATATTTTGTTTTCCCAACACTTGGTCTGTGATAACACTCAAGAGAACTGTTCCTTTCAAATTTCGTCTTAGGGCCTGTTTACATGGAGGTGGGAGACCCCAGCTAGGTGAGGTAACCCGCTTAGGTGGGGTAGCCCATTTGTCCATTTAATCTCTCATTTTAATTTGATCACGTTTACATGATAGGTGGGGTGACCCGCCATATTTAACCTCACCTAACTGGGGTCCCCCACCTCCATGTAAACAGGCCCTTATTCACCTGCATATGTACGCATAGTTTATGGAAAAAAAAAAAACAAAAGAAAAAAGCAAAACAAAACATATAAGATTAAGAGGCTCATTAAGCTGCCTATTTACTGAATTTGCATTATGACTATGTCTCTTTAATGCACCTCTCCATTCTCCATTGTTTTGTACAGGTTATTATTTTCAATAAATGGAAGGGCAAGTCACTGACGTGGAACAGGAGATCATTATTACGAATAATAACCTACTGTTCCATTTCAGTGGTTACAATAATGACCTGCTGGTTCTAAAACAATGAAAAGGTACATGAAATCGGATAATGCCCTCGCTCCACGGTCCACGATAATGACCGAGCAGGCAGCGCGAGGTCATTGTTTTTAAGAAGGCCTCGGGGCTCAGGCATTATCCTATATGCAATGGTGCCGAGATATCATGTTATAAAACTTATTTTTCCTTTGAAGTCAGGCAGTAAAATGATTTCAATACAATGATAATCATCATCGGTCTCGTTTTATCAATTTCAACTACTTGGTTTCAAGATTGTTATATTACAGGGCTCACCTGACCTCCCGGGGGCTATGTGACGTTATTTCCTGATGACGTAAGCACATAATTGACGTAAAATAGCAATATTGCAAATGATGTCAAATGATGAAATGTTACCTAAAGTAAAGTTGGTACAAATCAGAGGGGTGGGGGGGGGGGAGGGGGGAGACGAGGTCTATCAATCAATCAATCAATCAATCAACTTTATTTAAACACGGTAAATGGCTCAGCAAGCTGGTTTTCAGACATGCCGTGTGATAATTACAATTTATAAAAATTAGGACTAGTGATTAACTAACAATAATTAGCACAAGAATTGACAATTTATCTGCGTGGTGGTCAGTGGATAATAGCTGTATTTTTCCCACAGTAAATATTTGGATAGAAGCAGGAGCGGTGAGGAAATGATTAAAAAATTGAACAAATAATATCATCGGCATCTCTGTTTTTCTTGCATATCGTATTTGTCTTTTGCTATTGAAATTGCAGCGGAAACTAAACCGCAACCGTGTTATATCTTATTAAAAATTGATTTTAAAAGAGACATTATTCGCGCCAAAATTTGATTCCCGTATGGTAAACGCTTATTGGCTAATAACATGACAGGTCAAGGAGACGTTAGATTATGTAAATTATTTTTTTCCTCTCTCGAGCCAAAGAAAAAAAGAAGCAAAGAAAAAAAAAAAAAAAACGCCTGATCTCAGGTTACCTTCATCGCTGAATGAAGGGCGAAGACTTACAAGAATAATTTCGAATGACGACAGCCTTTTTAATTATTTCATTAAGATCAAGGATTACATTGTTAAAACAACGAGGTCTCTGGTAGCCGAAACATTTTCTACAGCTTACGTAAAGGTTTTTAGGTTGTTTACTTATTGATTGTATGAAAACACGTGAGCCGTGGACGACGAATTACCAAGAAGTATAAATTCAAAGAAACGAAAGATATCACACCGACAAGGGACAAAGTTTCCTCAGAATGGAGGCTGTTTTCGAAAAAGGATTTTGTAACCTGCAGATCTACTTATCATTCTTCATGTTATCGAAAAACAGACCCGTAAGCAAGGAGGAGGGAGGGGGCGGGGGGTGTGACGATTGCACTCGCACCCCATCTCCTACCCCCCCTCCCCCCCCCCACAACAGAGGTTCACTTTTTTTATTAATCAGCGACTTAAAACAAAGTGAAGTAGGAATATTGTTCTATTCTTATTTACTGATTGTGTAGTAAAATCCTTTAAAATAGGTCACAAGCCTGGCGTACCCTTTCCACAAAACGTCCTTTAGCCTTCGTAAAGTATAAAAAAGAGGATTTAGCGTGCCTACAAGACATTCCTTCATTGCTCAATAAAATTCCGTTTAGGGTTTGTTTGCCATAGGTTTCTGCAAAGTGGTGGATCTGAATTGTTATTTTAGCAGTCGGCTAGTATGAGAATAGGCCATTTTCACGATGACGACATTTGATTACAACTACCAGTCTTATTTGAATTTGTCAATCCCGCTAAGGATTATAGAACAATAGCTCTAATTTGCACAAGAAAACAACAAACTAAAGGATTCTGGTAGGTGTAGTAAAATGACGTCATCGTGCAATGATATTATTGTCCTATTCCCGTCAGCTTTGACATGCTAGACCCAGCTCTTTGTGTTGCTTGGAGGATATTAAAACTCCTATTCAAGCTACACAACTATTTGTGGAGAAAATGTTTGTTTGTTTGTTTGTTTGTTTTTTTTATGGCGACTTTTTTTGTTGTTGAAAGTATATACGTTTTACTACCCCATGTTAGTTTTAAATGCATTTGAAGCCATTTCAGAGGGCTTAAAATTAAAAATGTTCCGGGGGAGCATGCCCCCGGATAGCCCTAGGTGGCTCACTTCAACGCATTCCAAGTCAAATCCCCGCCCCCGCCCCCCATTTTAAACTTGCCTTGCACTTCAGTCTCAGACAACCAAAGCTTCCCCCCCTCCCGAAACTTGAGAAGAGTTGCGAGCGTGCATTGAGAAAACTTATGTGGTTGTTTTTTACAGTTTGTAAATAAGTCGATAATTTGAGTTTCCTCCGACAAACATTCAACAAATTCGTACTCCTCGTAGTCTTGATATGAAGCGGTGCCAGATCCTGCAGCAAAGTATTGCAAAAACGACTTGTTCTTCCGAGTGCTCGAGAAACGGGGAGAGAGTCTGCTCTGGGCCAACGCGTGAAAACCCATGGTAACGGTTGATTGACGTCCACCAAAACGCAGGTTTGAACCCGAAGAAAAAAACCTTTGAGGGCGCTTGTTAGTGGTAACCGCTGTCAGTGGATTCCTTTTTATAGGGAGGCGCACATAAATCGGTGCGCACTCATACACAAGAGACTTAAAGGGAACACTCCTAATTATAAATGTGAACAAACTTCTGGTTACAAATTCTAGCATAGCATGCGTATGAGGAATACAAGAAGTTGTAATTTAAATTTCCTTTGTCCTAGATATAATTATGCGCGGAGGGTGGTCGTTCTTTTTCAGTTCGTTCTATTAAGGATTGGTACTCTATACCAAGATCTCTGAGAGTTTTGGACGGCTACTCACGTTTTAAAGAAAGCCTTTTTGTAAACTTTTTTGTTACTCCGAAAAAAGACTTTTAAAACTTGGCTTGACCACAAATGGAAAAGATAAAATAATCCGGAAAATCCGTTCGATTGACCTGCTATTACAGCTCTGAAATAAGTGGAATAATTATTCCAAATATCGCCCAGGGGAGCAGAATGTTTGGAAGAAAACGGAATAGTTACTTCATTTTATTGCTGCGGCAAGTTTTCGCCAAGTCGTCAGTGACAATCATCAACATATAAACAAGCTAGGAAACGCATTCCGTTGAAACGGCTAGTTCTCTGGAAGAGAGAAAAAACTCCCAAGCTTATTATAACATTTTTCCTAACACAAAAAATGCGAAAAATATACGTACTGAATTTTTCACTCAGTGTCAGGGTAACCCGTAATCCAAACAGTTTAACCTCGCTCGTTAAATCTCTTACAAAAACACAATGCATGGTAGTAATAGACCTTTCCCACATTCCAGTAAACAAATGCACCAACTTAAGGCTCGGGTGGATAAATTACAGTGATTTGTAGCCTTGACAAAGAAATTCTGTTTCATCTTTATTAAGCGTACATTTATGCAATCGATTGAATACCGTTCTGATCAGTAAAATGGCATCTTAGAAAGGAAAATAACTAATGCAAGAGAGAAGACAAATAGAGTACTGTGATCAAAGAGATCAAATTTGCCGGGATAAAACATATACACACAAATGACAAGTCGCAATTACTCAGTAGAGCAAAGCAATGTCCACTACAAAATTAATTAAATTTTATTCACTAAATCGTTGAGCTCAGAAACAAAATGCAATCAGAAAGTCATTATAGCAATCAAAGTGATTAAGGCCGGCCTAAGAAAGCGGAAGTAATTTCGCGGCGGAATAGCTATATATATACAGTTAAGCTTGTTAAGGTTGTATGTACAACATCCAATAACCATTTATACAAAAGCGGATAATTATGATCCAACTATTAATATTTACGATGGCACGTCTCTTTTTACTACTCTTTTTTACACGTTTCTAATTCTCACTTTTAAAAACAACAGAACCATCACTAATTCTAACTTGGCTTGATATCAATAGGAATACATAGAATAATCCCGAGAATCCGCCGTTCTACTGACCTGCCATTCCAGTTCTGAAATAAGTAAAATATATTCCAAATACTGCTCTAGGGAGCAGAATGTTTGCAAGTAAAATGAAATAATGACGCCATTTCCTTACGCCGGCACGTTTTCACAATAACAACAACAACAACAACACTGAAAAAACAAGTGGCGGATCACTTCGCCATGCAGTGACAATAGACTCAGCATATAAACGATAAAGGAAAATAAGGCAT